CAAAACAGGACCATGGGAAATAACAGAAGTAGTTTGGCACTTAACATTAAGAACATTTTCACATCTTTGCTCCTTGGCTAAAAATATAGGTGATTTAAGTTTGACTCATTTCTCTAGGAACTTATTTATTTAGATCTATATAGGTTGGAGATTGAAAGGATTATATTAATAAAGCTAACCTTGAATCATAAAACCCCTTTGTATCTTATGGGGTTCCCATTGTTGATAAAATAGCACTGAAGATAAGTGATAGGTTAGGGCATCAGTAATCCTTGCTTGGTTAGGTGAGCTTTTGGCATAACTTAGTTATTAGAGCAAGGAACTTAATAATAGCCTAATTTCCTTTAGAATATAAACCTAAGGTTTCTTTTTCATGCCAAGATTCAGCCTACATTTGAGGTATGGGGTTTTGGCTTAACATCTTAATCTGTGGGTACAAGAAAATTTACTGTAGTTGAAAGAGATGAGGTAATGACAGATGAGGCTAGCCTCTGGAAAAATGTCTTATAAAGGCTTAGTTCCTAGGTTGCACTGTTAAAATCACCATGCTTGGTGATGGTATAATCATGAGCATGTTCTGCTTGATAATATGCAGTACTGAAAGTTACTCAGGGATTGCAGGCTAAAAAGCTGAAAGCATCTGATATCTACCAAGTTACTGTTTCTCTTTTTTTGTGGTGTTTTTTTTTTTTTTCTTGACAGTCCCATTTCATTGTACTATGGGAAACAGAATCAGTTTTGCCTAATAAAATGTATGTGGCAAGCACTTGAAGCATTGCTACAAATGGATATTAGCCAAAAAATTTAAATGAAACCACCACCAACAAAGAGGGCTAGAATATACAAAAGTGTGATGTAAATAGTGTTAAAGCCTACAGAGAAGACGAAATTAATACTTAATGATCAGAAATTATTTGGCAGTTTCTAAAGGTACCTAGTTAAGAGACAGTCATGGACAAGTACAATAATAAAAGGTTCCAACGTACTTTATTTTTTATTTTGGAAAAGTATAATAAAGAAAAAAATGCTGATTTAAATTTCATCTCCTTTTCCTTAGTCTGTCCATGTGAATGTGCTGTGTGGAAGAGTAAAAGGGCCCAACTAAATGTGTTCCAGTGATTCTAATAGGTATTCCAAATTAATTGATGCTTGTATATTTAACAGTTGTTATGTTAGGATTCTGGGATCACCCTAAAATAAAACTTATTAAAAGATGGGGAAGAGCAACTGGTAACCTTGATGTACAGGTTATATAACATTTCCCAGTTTCTCCCTTGAATACCTGAAGTGAAATACTTGGTATTCTCTTTGCAGTTGATGGTCCTCTTGCATAGGTTTACAGGAATACATGCAAAGACCCAAGTCCTTTCCTTCTGTTAAACTTATTTTATATAACATTCTCCCTACTTGCAGCAGTTTATTTCCAGAGTTCAAATGTGAAATAAGTTTAGGATATTTTTCTGTCCTTAGATTCCCCAAATCTTTGTTCTTTTTATACTAAATACACAAATATACTAGTTTTAGGAAAACAGATTTGAGGTCCTGTTTGGATAATGAATGATATAATAAATTCATATTTCAAAATGTAAAATCAGCTTAGAAAACTAAATTTAGAACTTAAGATGAAGAAATGGGGAAGACTTGATATGAGTTTTCATTATGCCAGTCCAGAGTATATAATATACTGTTGTAAGTCTGAAGTTTAAATTAAAGTCTTGATAAGCTTAGAGGAAATTATTTTTCTCCACTATGTTCTCCAGAAAAATGTCTTTAGGTGAAATGAGAGGACTTGGATACAGGTCTGATAACAATGTCACTATCAGGATTTGCTCAATGCAAAACAGCTCTACTCTAAAAAGTTGACCTAATGGCTTCTAAAGAGCAGGCACCTCAAGGTTTCATGACCATTTCTGTTTACATGAGGAAAAACAAAACTATAAAAAAATAAACTTTTTTCAAAAATGAGCTTTGAATTTATGTGGTAAGGCACGTTTTATTTCACATGACTTCATGGTATAGTGCAAGAAACATTACTATGGAAATTCATCCTTTAAGAAATCAGTATATGCAGAAAATGATGACTTTGAGATCCCCTAAGGGGGTGCCATATGATAGCTGGTTTATTAGAATTTCTAAAAACATGGTGGAAGAGATGCCACTTTTTAGGTTGACCTACACTTAAAGTGAACAAAAGAAATCTTTCGTCTATTAATATAATCTGATAATCTTGAGATACGACTACTCAGTGTCATCCTTATTCTAGAAAAATAGAAGAATAAAGTGAATGCAATGGTTGAAAAGCACTCAAAAATATTTGAAACACGTTGTAGTGCTCACATTATAAGCTTCAAAATGGAATTCTGAAAAAATGTCCTCATAATGTAATTTTTCTTGTTCCAGCAGCTTTCCCTTACTAAGAAAAAGTTTTAAAGCATTTAAAAAATGGAACTTAATGTACATAATAAGCTGTGTAAAAAATACCAGTATTTGGGTGGTAGTGGATATATTGACACATTGAACTGCTAATTACTGGACTAATTTTTAAGTTGCTTCCAAAAGTTATTTCATTCTAGAGGACCATTATAAAACAGAATTGTAGCAATTGTTTTTAATTTTTCTACTTTCCTCATTAAGGTCTGCTTTACCCAAAGAATAGTGTATATTTTAACATGACTTAAAGGGGTGAGTTTACCCCATCACAGATTTTTATCTGGGAATAGAAGGATTCAAACCCTATTTGATCCCTAGCTCTTTGCTGAAAAGTGCATAAACAGGAATCCTGAATTTATTATATAGACCTCCTCGCATTATGTAATCGAAGCAAAGGGAAACCAGCGATGGAGTTAGAGGTACGTAGACTAAAGAGATGCTTGCAAATACAATAATGGTTCTAGAGTAGTCAAGATTTCTTGTTGCCGAACTCAGCATAAATCACAAGTTCAGAGAAAAACTTAATTTAAAAGCCCTGAGGTCCTTTTACTGAGATGGAAAAGCAAGCAGTCCAGCCAAAAGGAGGGGTGAGGGAAGGGGGGAAACACATAAATCATATCTTAGAAAGTGTCAAAGCAAGTATAATAGATAAGCCATGAAAAATTTTCAAAACTAATAACTGTAATTCTATTTTAATCAGCTATTTAGCTGGTACCCACTGCTATATCACCTAGTGTGAAATTTTGGAATTACGGAGCAATGGAGGTGCGCTGGAAGCTCCCAAATGGGCATGGAAGGTAGGTTGTTTTGAGTTTAATAAAATTTGCAGTATGTGAAAGTATGGATCGGGTATAAGTCTTAAATCCTACCCGTTGGTGAACACTTAGTTCATTTACTTTTTTGTGCCATGTACTTTAGGAATGTAATAGGAAACACTGTAGCACATACCAGTGACCCAATGAAAGTGCCTACTGCAAGAATTAAAGCACAAAATATGTGAAAAGCTAAAGGAAAAAGTGACTATGATTCCCAGATGGTGTAAGCAAATGAAAAAAAAAAAGTAGATCAGAAAGGCATTGAAAGTGAAAAATTTCTGATTAGAGACATGGATTAATTTGTAATGGTCAGTGTGACAGATTTGGCAAAACTTCAGTTAGGATTTGAAGATTATTGACTGAAGTAGGAGTGTCAGGACCATTTTGTAACATTTTAGTAGTTCAAGAAGAAAAATGATCATGTAAATGTATGTAATGGCATTTTAAAAGTAATTCAACTAAATTAAATATTTTATTATAACTTTGTTTTTAATCCAGGTCTCCAGTTTGTGCAGGCATTCTGCTGTGAAAATGAACTGACCTTATTTAATGGTGAAGTCTTTGGAAATTTTACCAATCGAGAGGTTTCTCTTTCAGGGTAAGATGTAATTGAAGTATGATAGAACTAGGACTTGACTTAATCCAGCTGCCCAATTATACAGGTTATTTATGTTAGTAAACTGAAGCTGTGAGCATAAATAGCTGCCCACCCAGTTTGTTAAATATCAGGTTACTGATTAGTGCTCATCTTAAAACATGGGGAACTCATCACTGAATTTTTAACAATTTGGTCATGGCCAGTTCAAATAATGTAGAATGTTGGTTTGTGCCAGATTTATGGAGGTAGATCAGAAAGGCATTGAAGTGGTCAGATTTTACAAGCTCCTTTCCAGGAACTTTCCTTTATTAATTATCCAGGTCCTCCTCAGAATGTGTTTGACATCACACAGCCTCTGCACCCTAACTACTGTAACCTTGATAGCCACAAGGTGGGGAGGGAGATCTTTCTGAACAGAACTAAAGTAATTACACCTTTCCTTTGAAAAAGAAGTAGAACAAGATAACTAATACTTTAAAGACATCTGAGTTCACTGGTGTCTCCCCCTCCATACCACCCTCATGTTTCTTTTGTATTTAAAGAAACTGTCAAGCTGTTTATTTAAATAGGTATTTTTCCTCAGACAGGGTCTTGCCATGTTGAGCAGGCTGGTCTTAAATTCCTGGGCTTGTTTTTTCTGCTTAAGTCTTCTGAATAGCTATGACTACAGATGTACTGTATCCATCTTAACAAGTAATGTTGACACCAGAAATAGCTTCATTCCATAAGAAAGGGAGTCTTCTCCTGGATAAGTAAATATTGGGGGATAGATTTTTAATGGTCACTGATTTTAACCGGATTGTCTAAATGTATGATTCTGCTATTCTTTTTCCACTACACCAGCTTTTTTAACTGAAATATTTTCATATATAACATGTGCTAATTAAAAAATTTCACTTAGAAGTGAAAGCCCTGTATGCATTGTGATGAGCAGTTGAGAAGATCGGGAGTTTTGTTTTTTTAGGCAAGTCTATAATCCAAGATTCTATTACTTAGTGTCATTAAATTTGTTACTTACACACTGCCAATAAATTCTGTTTTAGAGGTGATATACCCACTACACCTACTATATAAAACACATGACCTAGGAATACCATGTTGGCAGTAGGTAAGGGCCAGATTATATTGGAAGTTTTCATGCAAGTAAAGAAAAAGACTGCAATTTACACATAATTTATTTGAGTTTTATTGTACATAATACGTGGCTGGTCCCAATGCTCACACTGACTTGAGGGAGATGTTTTGAATTTTTACGCTCAGAGTTGCTCAGTTGCTGCTGCTGCTGCTGATTTGTTTTCTTTGAGGATCAAGGTGGGTGCTTTCATATAAAATCTGGTTTTTAATTCCTTCTCTGGCAATTCTTTCCTGGATTCTTTGCTTTGCATGATTATACCTACAGGGAAACCTTGTAAGAAAAGATAAATCTCTGTAGGAATTTAACTATATATAACACAATTTCAAAATGCTTACAGGTGACTACCCAAGACAAAATTACAAATAGTCTAATTTGGAGTGTTTTTGGGTAGTTAGGAGTCAGAATACTAGTTGTACACATACTCATGAAGAAACCACTGGGAATAGTTGAGGCCTTATTAAATTTGTTCAGGCATTCAACAAACGATGATAGTTAACAGATTGCTTTTTTGCAAAGGCAAAAGCAGTATTGTTTTGCAAGGCAGATTTCCCTTAAAAATAAAGAGTCTTTAATGACTTCCAGAATCTTCGCTATTTCTCTGAATGTGCATTTGAATTTTAGGTAACCTATTAAAATCATGGAATTTCAGGAATACTTAGGAAACATACCAGCATCCTAAAGTCACCAGGATAAATCCTCCCACTCCAACATCACATGATCTTCTAATTCTACCTGTCAAAAATAAGCATCACCACTAGAATATAATCATCATGCATGCCTTATAGACTATAGTTAATCCATCTTGAAAAACTGCTCAAAGAAATGTTTTTATACAGAGAAATAAATATACTCACTAGTTAACAAAAAATGTCCAAGTCCAGCCACAACAGATCCCAATGAACCATATAATATCGAATCCCGTGCACAGGGAATGTTTTCAACATCTAAAATTCCTAGGAGCTTAAAGGGCTAGGATAAAATAGAAAAGAACCTAGATTGAACAAGAAAATGTTTTAGTCCAGGGTGACCTGGCAAGATTATAATGAATAGTACAGTTTACATTGCCTTTGATTATGTCTTTTAATTTGGAAACCTTGAAAATTTGGCCAGAAGGCCCTCAGAAATTATTAAACTTGACTTTCATCACTGAGTATAAAAGCAATGTAACTTGGGAAACAGCAATGCTGACTTTGATTTTGATGTTAACTAAAAGAATATCAATTGTTAGAACAACCTTTCATGGGAGTACACTGGGCCTGTACTATCACATCATCTTGGTGTGATAGGACAAATTGGGAATCTGGAGAGCTGAATTTTTGTTAATGCTTTTCTCCATTCATTGGTTTTATATTTAACTGGGATGTCTGTCACTCTAATTCTGTCTTTTAGGGCTTTTGGGAGAGACAAGACATTTAAATTTAACTGACATTTCTTATAAACAAATCTAGAGTTTCAGAACCCAGTCTACTACCTCCCAAAAAAGTCTTACAAAATGAGAGATGATAATTTTCAGTAACATTGCTTTTTAAAGGAAGCCAGCCACTGTCCATTTCACATGACTTTTTAAAAAACAGGTTCATATGGTGTGGGGCCATTGTGGGAAGATTCTGTAGGATGAAATAATAAAGGAAAGGACAGGAATCGAAGTCATGATAACAATTGTATTTCCATCCATGTTTGCTGCTTTGGCTCAAATCTGCTGGAAAAGACAAAATGCCTTGGTTCATATTAAAGTAAAAATTGCACACTCTTGATGATTGTCCTTTTTTACCTCCTGTTTCCCTCTACTCTCACATGAATACAGGATCTGCAGTGAATTTTCACAGAGAGACTTGTTTATGGAAATTTAATGTGTTACGTTGATATGTTACCCTCAAAAAGCCTACTCCTCTAGGAATTAGATTAAGATGGGGGAGGGGGCGTTGCTAATACCCATCCAATTTATACGAAGCACAGGTTCCTTTAAGCTCCCCACCCCCCCATTGCCACCTATTTGGATTCCTTTTTGTGGCAAATATTTTTAGAATTTGTTCAGTTTTCTTATATTCTATTCAGTTTTTAAGTAAATGTGCTAAATTATACCTGCCAAATAAGTTAGGTACCTTGAACTTTTAAAAGTCTGCCCTCATACTTGGATTCAGATTTGGGGTTGGACCATGGAGCATAAGGGTGCCCCTTTTTGGTATCAGGAATTGAACTCTTAAGCCATATCCCCAACCCTTTTGATCTTCTGAGACAGGGTCTCACCAAGTTGTCCAGGGTGACCTTTAAGTTGGGATACTCCTGTCTCAGCTTCCTGAGCTGCTGGAATGTCCATAATGGAATAATCTTGGCTTGAAAACAAGTTAAGAGTTATCAGAGAAACATGATAGTTCTTGAGCTCCACCCTCAACAAAACTGGTCTAAAGTGTCAATACTGTGAACTTGAGCTCAAATCTAACTAATCGGTAATTTAGGGGTAGGGGTCATTACTGGCAGGCTCATAATATCACAACGTGGCTTCAGGTAAATGTGATGGAAGTCTGACCCCGAGGCCTGTGTCACTTCTGCTCTTTTAACCCTTTGATAAATGAAAGCAAAAGACTTTAGGAGAAGCATTTTCCAAGTCACTATGAAAATCTTATGCATTCTGTGGCTGGGTGTCAGGCAAGATGGCAAGTTCAAAGCCAGCTTCAACAACTTACAGACTGTTCCAAAATAAAGAGGGGTTGGGATGTGTTTCAATGGTTAAGCAAAAGCAACCCTGAGTTCAATTTCCAGTACCCAAAAAAAAAAAAAGGGAAAGATGTTCAAGGACTTACTTTGTTATCAGGGGTTTGACTGGGGCTGGCTTTGAACTGAACTTAATCCTCCTGTCTCAGTCCACTCCCAGCTTAGTTGTTCACAACCACGTCTGGCTAAACTAATTTTTTAAAATGTCATTGTCTGATCAGTGAATTTTTTAAACTCACAGATTGAACTCATGCATGCTACGCTCTACCACTGAGCTACAACTGCAGTGATATATTTAAAGCTTTTTTTTTTTTTTAAGTTGTTGATAGACCTTTATTTATTTGTGGTGCTGAGAATTGAACCCAGTGCCTCATAATATGCCAGGCAAGTGCACTACTGCTCAGCCCCAGCATTAAAAGCTTAGATTTTATTAAAGAGTTTATCAGGGGCTAGGGATGTGGCTCAAGCGGTAGCGCGCTCGCCTGGCATGCGTGTGGCCCGGGTTCGATCCTCAGCACCACATACAAAGACGTGTCCACCAAAAACTGAAAAATAAACTTTATTTATCAGTTCACTTTGGAACTACTGGACGCTCTAGAGATTTTCAGATCAAATTGGACCTACATTTGTGCCCATGTTTTTTTCCTCTTGTTGCAAAGGTGATCTAGAACTAATCTTCAATACTTGTGCACCTGATTCCCTTCTGCCTACACAAGGACTTTTTTGTCCTCATGTGCATGAGATTTTTCTATTATAATCATGATAACAAAATTTTCTTGTTTCCCAGCAAAACTACTTGAGTTACCTTGGTGTACTTCTCCACTTAGAAACCTTACGTTCTTTGCTGATACACTGGACATGAATTTAAAAAAAAAGGTTAAGCAAGGATGACTCTTAGGTTTTTGGCCTGTGAAGCATTTATCACCTGTACTCCAAGGATACCCACTTTGCAGCATCCATCTTATCAGATGTGGAACAGATAGTCATTTTGTTTTTAAATAATTTAACTTGGTTCTGAATACAGTAATGTCTCCTGGGCAGTCCTAGCAGCTTTGTTTGTCTCTACAGACCTTAAATGTTGGAAGTGCTGCCCTTTTCTGGAAAGAGACTCTGCCTACTGATACCTCTTATCTCAATCTTGATCTTAATATTTCCATAAAACGGGACTTTCCATCTCAAAACCTTTTATGTGGTACTGAGGATCGAACCCAGTGCCTCATGTATGCTAAGTGAGCACTCTACCACTGAGCCACAACCCCAGCCCCAAAACCTTTCTCTTAATGACATCTCTACTCAAATAATTTTCCAGCCAAAAAAAGAATCATCCTTTCATCTTCAAATCCATGTACAATGTATTTGCAAGTTCAAAATATGTGCTGAACCTACTAGTTCTCAACTTTTAGTATATTACCAAACTAACATCTATCAACAGTATCTTAGGTCTCTCTGCCATCACTCTAAAAATGTGTGACTATATCATTCTCCTAACTCTTCATGGCTTCTGAATATGCTCAGTATAGTACATACTCCTTACCACTACTACAAAGGCCTCCATGTGATCTCATACCTGCTTGCTTCTGTTTTCTAGTCTCTTGTCCTCCACTCTAGGCACACTGGCCTTGACATTTCTCTACAAACCTAATACACACTGCATTTCTCTTGGGTCTTTACATGGTTGACTCAGTAAATGAAATTCTTATTGTTGGATTCCCCTACTAGAAAGTGAGCTCCATTAAGGATAGGGACTTGGCCTGTTTTGATGAAGACCATATCCCTACTATATAAGTTTGATGCCAGATAGTGTAGGTAACATTGTAAATATTGTTTGACTTCTTGAATTCACACTTCACTTTTTGTGAATAACTACCAAATTTTACATTTTCAAATTTCTTGAAGGACAATAATGAGTAAAATTTAAAGGGTAACTCTAGGTTTTACCTTAGGTTTGCTAATTCTAATAAATAGTTATTTTCCCTGGGTTGTACTGGAACAATCACTGACATATCCTTTAAAAAAAATAACTGCAGGCTTCCTTTTCTGACTTCCTGGGCTGTTATTCAGACACAGCTTATTACATAATTTTCATCATCTCTGATGAATTTAGATAGGTATTACTTTTCTCATGAGCAATTTGTGGGGTATACCCCACCACCCATAAATCTGGCGATATTGAGGTTAAGGTCTATAGCCACCTTTCATTCACTGACTACAACTTGTTTTGCTACTCGTGAGTCAAATAAATAGGTCCATACTTACCACTTTCTCCCTTCATTCTTATTACCTCTGTACATCAGTCAGCAAGGCACCATGCATACCTTTTAACACAAGCTACTAGGGAGACTGAACTAGGAGATCAAAAATCGGAGACCCGTCTGGGCAACTTTTTGAGACACTCAAAAATACTGTAATGGTGAAGCTACGTACAAAATGCCAGATAGGGAAACACCTCAGTCTGCTTTTGGGGAGTCTCATGAGACCGTTCGAAGGCGACAGAGAACCTAATCCAGCTTTACTACACCAAGAATTTGGATTTTACGCTGAAAGAAATGGGCGATTAGGACTGGATTTTAAATAGGCTGAAACTGTATAGTTTATACTACGGAAAGCTCTTGCAAACAACCGTGGTAGTGGACTAAATAGGGGAGAGCGCCAAGAAACAGGGATGCAGGTTAGGCAGGCTATTAGTTACACCACTACGTTGCACTCTGCCATGTGGTCCAAAGAAAGCTAATGGGAATCCCCCCGCCGCCCCCTTCATCTGACCTTTCTGCTCTGGACATAACCGGAATGTAGCCAAGTTTTCATTCCTTAACATTTACTGAATCTGTTTAATGTGTAGAATGCCACATTTAAGGCAAGGTACCTGTCCTCGGAGCATTTTCATCTCGCAACAAGCAAAATTCAATGTAATGTCCTCGTCAGCAAAATTTTGTCAAAGGATTCAGTATTGGCTGTTTCATAACAACCTGCAAATCATTAATATTGCTGATCGCTTTCCCCTCGTTTAGGACAGGGTTGTCCAGGCCACTAAGCGCGGGAGAGGACTAGGAATAGTTATGATGGTTTCTTGCATTCGCCTGGTGGAGAAACTGGAGACCCGTGCTCCAAGCCTAGGAAACTCAGGACGCCGGGTCCTTACGCGCTTCCCGCCCCACTCTCCCTTCTGAGATCGTGCGCCCCGCCACCCCCGCGTTACCTTCCCCTTCCCGGACTCGCCCTGCTCCGGCACGGCCGCCATGGGGACCAGTTGGCTCCTCCAGCCCCACCTTGCGTCCGCCCAAGGCCTCAGGAGCGGAAGCCAGGCCAGCCGCGCCCCGCCCGCTGGCTCCCGCCCGCCCCCGCGCGCCGGCCGCCATTTTAGGGAATGTTCTTAATGCTACGCAGAGGCCGTGCCGGCGCCTCGGCTGCCACCTTTTTTGTTCAATCGGACGGATTACGCTATCTTCCATGTCCGGCAACCAGCTCGCAGGGCCGGGAGCGTGGGAGGCGGCAGGCTGGCGAACCACCTCCGGCTCCCGGCTTCCAGGCAGGGTGGGGGAGGCTTGGAATCCTGGGTGAGCGACGCGGCCCGTCTTCCCGCCACCCCCCCCCACCGCCATTTTTAACCGTCCCCGGGCGCGCGCGTTTTCTCAGGCACCCGGGCGCCGGGCACGCGTCGAGGGCGGTTCGCGGCGGAGGGAGCGCGCGCGCGCGCGCGCCGCCGCGGCTTTGTCCTGCGGGGCGGACCCCTAGCAGGGGTTGGCTGAGCCCCACGCGCTCTCTGTCCGGGTCCCTGGCCCGGAAGTCGCCTTTCGCTAGTTCGACGGCCTTCGTCCCCTACGTGTCCTTTGTTCTTCCGGGCCCAGAACAAGCCCTCAGTACCACCGGCTGCTGCTCTCTGCGCTAGCAGCCATTTAGTCTCTCCTGCCTCCCTTCAGCAATTGTGCTCCGACGCCCCCACCCCCACACCACCTCTTCTTGGTTTTATTACTTATTGTCTTTAAAAATAGCACTGCTCAGTTTGCTTAAAGGAGATTGGGGACAAAATGGAGGGAACAGCTCGCTTTCATCGTAGTCAGGACGTTGGTGTCCACCAGCCGTGGGTGGGTGGAAGCAGGGCCGGGGAGGATGAAGCACTTTCACGTCCAAGGAGAAAAATGCCTGCGATGTGAATTTTTGATGTTCCAAGTTACCCTTCCTACGACTGCGACCTGATGTGCAGTCCTGTGTAAGGCACCGGCCAGTTGTTCGGCAGTCAGTCCGGTTCCTTTTTTGTGTTAAATTTTTCTACTTGACCTTGTGCCTCCATTATCTAAGTACCTTTCTGTTTCTCGACTTGGCGTTTGAAATGTCTCGAGTTTTTCTTTTGAAAGTGTACTATTCCGGGGAAAATATTCAGACTTGTCATTGTGTGCAGAGTCACGCTGCTTCCAGTTATGCTGCAGCCTGGTACATAGCGCCCAATTGTGTTAGAGATGGTGATTTAACCGTCATGAACTGAGCGCTTTCGTTGTTTTTTTTTAATCTCATTGAATACCTTTCTCCAATCACGTGAAACGCACAATCTCAGAAAAAGAAAAAAACACCCACACACAATATGATTTATATTTATGTGTTTATGTGTGACAGGTTTATTTTTAAAAGAATTAGGAACCTGGACAGTTAGAAATTACATACTGCTGTAATAATTATTAGGGCATGGAAAAAAGTAAACCCGTCGGTGATATCCTTGGCCAGCTTTGGATTCTCTGCTAAAATTTTTTATACCAGCTATTCTTTGAACTCTTGGTCTGGAAGGTAATATTTAAGGTAGTAATATTCCATAAATGAATGAGGAATTCTTTTGAAGTGATTTCTAATTATGTTGTAAAGGAAGGAGAACTGGGAAAGTACCAGGTAAAATACCATTAAGTCATCCTGCTTTATTTTTCATTGTGACTGAAAAAAATGCCAGTAGATTTAGTGGAGATCCATTTCATTAGTCTTTGAAAATATTTTCATATGTATTATTTTATATTAAAATAATTTCACAGTAATTTGCATGTTTAACATTTTATATATGTACATATATAAAGTGAAAAGTAAAAATCTCTTTTGCTATCCTTCTGAAACATAATCAACTAAGTATTTTTCCAAGCTCTCTTCCTTTTTCAATTAAAAATTATTACATGAGCCTGACATGGTGGCTCAGGAGGCTGAGGCAGGAAGATTGCAAGTTGAAAGCCTGCCTTAGCAATTTAGTGAGACCCTGTCTCAAAAAAAATTAAAAAGGGTTGGGGATGTGGCTCAGTGATAAAGTGCCCCTGGGTTCAATCCTCAGTACCCCTCCCCCTCAAAATTATTACATGAATGCATATATTTTGCAGTTAACTCAATACTGTAGGAGTCAAGGGTATAATTAATTCAATGGTAGAGCACTTGCCTAGCATACATGAGGCCCTGAGTTCCATCTCCAGCACTGCAAACAAAACAAAAGAAACACTGGAATATATGGGGTAAAAAGTCTGCTATGTCCCATTCATCTACATATGATATATACTGAGGTGGCACTGCACTGTCATTTGCATTCTATAATTTACCTCTTGCCATTCAATCTTCTAATGTTTTTTCGTGTAAGGGACTTACATAGATTTATTAATTTTACTGGCTGCTTAGTAATCCTTTAACCAGTTTTCTTCTGATTGATATTTTTAATAGAAAGTTTCAATTTTTTTTTTCACTAATCTGAAAGGCATCCTGCTTACATAAACCTTTTTGAGTCCCATAATAAAAAATACTCTCATAGTTCTGAAAATAATTATTATACACTCCCTTTCTCATTCATAATTTTTCTTTTTTTCCCCTTTTCTTAAAAGACCAATTTTTGGTCTTTATTAAGCAGTCTTTTAAAAAATTACTTATTTTTTCTACTTATCTTGTGTCTCTTTGTTTTTTAAATAGCTTTTTGAATTGGCTACAAGTTTTTGATCAGCTACAAATTTTCTGAAAACTGCTTCTGCCATGGGTGATTGACACACATTCCCTGCTGTCCATTTCCTCTGCACACTGCTACCTCCTTCTGCACCATCTAAATCCTCCCCTACCCTCAACACATTCTCTCCTCCATGAGTCCTCCCAAACAATCCTAGTTTAAGATTATCCCTTCTCTTCATCTCTTATGCTTCCAGCTATAAAATGAGGATAGTAATAATTCCCTTTATATAGTTATTGTGAGGATCAAATATTATAAATTGTTCAGTAGAGGGCTGGGGTTGTAGCTCAGTGGTAGAACACTTGCCTAGTGTTCATGAGGCCCCTCGATCAATTCCCAGTACTGCAAGTAAATTTTAAAAATAAATGTGTTCGGTTGAGTGCTAAGCATTAGCTAAATGTTCAGTTAATTATTGTCTCAACTCCTATCGTACTTACTTGAAATACTCACTTGGAGGTTATTTTTGGTTTGAATTTATAAGTTACCTTGCCATGTATTTGTTATCTCCCAGCTGTTTTGAGAGCTGGAACCATATTTTTGCCTTTTATTTTCAACACACATCTGATACAAAGTTGATTTTTTTTTTTTCCCCAGCACTGGGATCAGTGATGTATATTAGGGCCCTGCCTCTTTTGCATGTCAAAGGAAGGCATGAAGTCATATCCCAGTTCCATCTTTCTGGCCTCAGCTTTAGGTTGACCTATTTTCCTTCTTGATTGTCCCCAGATATTGCATTAGATGTTTTTTTTGCATAGAAAAATGAACCTTACCTAATGATTTTTATTCTTTCATAATTTAGAGGTGAAATTCCTTTTTTTTTTTTTTTTACTTTTTTTGTTTATATATGACAGTGGAATGCATTACAGTTCTTATTACACATATAGAGCACAATTTTTCATATCTCTGTATACAAAGTGTATTCACACCAATTTGTGTCTTCATACATGTGCTTTGGATAATAATGATCATCACATTCCACCATCATTAATAACCCCATGCCCCCTCCCTTCCTCTCCAACCCCTCTGCCCTATCTAGAGTTCATCTATTCCTCCCATGCTCCTGCTCCCTATCCCACTATAAATCAGCCTCCTTATATCAAAGAAAACATTTGGCATTTGTTTTTTTTTTGAGATTGGCTAACTTCACTTAGCATTATCTTCTCTAACTCCATTTACCTGCAAATGCCATGACTTCATTCTCTTTTGCTGATTAATTTTCCATGTGTATATTTGCCACATTTAAAAAAATCTATCTATTGAAGGGCATCTAGGTTGGTTCCACAGTTTAGTTATTGTGAATTGTGCTGCTATAATGTTGATGTGTCTGTGTCCCTGTAGTATGTGGTTTTTAAATCTTTTGGGTAGAGACCGAGGAGAGGAATAGCTGGGTCAAATGGTGGTTCCATTCCCAATTTTCCAAGAAAACTCTGTACTGCTTTCCATATTGGCTACACCAGTTTGCAGTCCCACCGGCAGTATATGAGTGTACCTTTTTCCCTATATCCTCGCCAACACCTTTCTAAATGGAGAAAAATTGAAGGCATTCCCTCTAAAAACTGGAACAAGACAGGGATGCCCTCTTCCACCACTTCTATTTAACATAATTCTTGAAACACTGGCCAGAGCAATTAGACGAAAGAAAAGGATACACATAGGAAAAGAAGAACTCAAATTGGCACTGTTTGCTGATGATATGATTCTATACCTAGAAGACCCTAAAGATTTCACCAGAAAACTTATAGAACTAGTAAATAAGTTCAGCAAAGTAGCAGGATATAAAATTAACACCCATAGATATTGGTTTATTGTTTCCCTTCCACAGATGCTTGGTCGTAAGCTCTTTTAGTGCAGGGAGTTGATTATTTTCATGCTTTGCTTTTTTTTCCAGGACCTAGAATAGTGTCTGACACATATTAGGTTCTCCATAAGTATTGGTGGGATAAATGGATGAATGAATCAGTGAATGAACAAGTCTGGAAACTTTAACTACCTGCTCTGGTGAGCTGGCCACAGTTAATTTACTAATAGGCAGATCACTCTGGAACAGATCACTCTGGAACAAACTTGACATATTTTATTACCAATTTAGAAACCAATAGGGACTGATAAGCATACTGGTCATTTAGCATTCTTAGACTTTATGAAATTACAAAGTTATTAAATAGTCAATTTTTCCATTATACAGTAGAACAAATTTTGTATTAATAAGCAGGGTTTATACATTTACAGGAAAAGATTAATATTTTCGTGTTCACTATGTTTTAGGCACTGTGCATAATGATGACTTCATTCCATTCCACACCTCCCCCCCACCCGCCCCCCTGCAGTTCTACCGGTTAGATGTTTTCA